AATTGAATTAATGCTTTAAAATTTAATAAATTCTAAAATAAATGAAATATTAACATACCTGCTTCAAATATTATTAGGTGTTTAAGTCAACATCATAAAATCACACGATAATATCGTTATTGTGCTTTGCGTTGATAAATAATAAGATTAGCTAAATCTAACCGATCATCACAATAATTTTGATTATTTATCAACGCAAAGCACAATAACTTATAATTATTAGTATTTCGCCACGCAATTTTGTATTTCTGTAATCTGTTGAATTTTCTTTTAAATAACAAAAATGTAAATATCACGTAAAATTTGAAATTTCCAGCCGTAAATTAAAAAAAAAAAAAAAAAATTAAAAATAATAATATAATGAAATATCAGTTTTTCACAAGTAAATTAGCTATTTTTTAATTACATATTAACTATCTATTGCTAAAATAAAATATTTTGTTCATTGTTTTTTTTTAAAGTATTGCGAGTTGTAGAATATTTAAATCCCTCATTTCATTTGACGCACAAAATAAGTTTGTTGTGATTTATGAGAAACAAGAAATCACATAACAGTAAGATGACTTCCTATATTATTTATGCTTTAATTTCTGACCCAATAATAGCCTTTTCTTAAATATAAGTCCTGTAATAATTAATTGTAAATAATTAAATCAGATTTGAAAAATGTCAGAAATTACAGAACTCGATCTTAGCGATTTAATTAGACACAGTCAATAAAAACTGCATGTGGCTGTTAATTTGTAGTGAGTAAGGAATTTTTAGGTCGGTTTCAACTAAGATTGTTCCCCGATACGATATGGAATGTTAAGGAGTTTCAGTATTTAAAATAATTAAATTTGGGCTAAATTATAAAAGTTGAGCTTGGCCAAAATTAAAAATTTACCGCAGTATGCGATCATTTGATTTGTATTCGGAAAATAATTTCAGTTGGTCCAAATTTGGTCATTATATTCCTATTATATCCTTAAAAACTTTTTTTTTCTTTTTTTAAAAAAAAAAAAAAATAATGGATGTAAATAGTGATGGAAGTGAACAAGACCTGAAAGAACCTGAATTCAACAAATTAAATGTCTCAGAAAATAATAAATGTATTTATTGTGATAAACCATTTACAGAGAAATTATGGTGTAAAGAATGTGACCCGTGTGAAGGATGGACTAGTGGAAATTCTGTTATTGATAATTTCATCAAAGATACAATGTATAATGCAAATACGAATAAAAGTAAAAAATATTCAAGATTTCTTGAATGGGTGCCCTTTGATAGATTCACAAATATAAAAGAAATTGGTGAAGGAGGATTCGCAAAAGTGTATTCTGCAACATGGATCGATGGTAAATCAAAATTTAGAAAGGAAGATGATGGAAGTTATAAAAAACTAGATCCTCAACCTATTACGGTAGCTTTGAAAAGGTTAAATGGATCGCAAAATATGTCAGCCTATTATTTTAATGAGGTATTTACATTTACATTTGATATTTATTAACTAGAATATTTTCATTTGCTTAAATTTTATTACATAACTAGCTTAAAGCACATTGGGATATTTATAAAAAAGATAATACTTCATTAAATTTTTATGGAATGACTAAGGATCCAGAAACCAAAGAATTTATTATGATCGTAAAATATTTACCTAATGGCAATTTGAGAAGTTTTCTTTCAAAAAATTTTAACAATATTTTATGGAAAGAAAAAATTAAAAATTTATTTAATCTTACTTTAGACCTTACTGTTTTACAAAATTTAGGATATTGTCATAAGGATTTTCATAGTGGAAATATATTGCAATCTGAACAAGATTCTTATGTTTCAGATTTTGGATTAACAGGACCAGCAGATAAGCAAAATTCGAATGACAAAATATATGGAGTATTGCCATATATCGCTCCAGAAATCTTGAATGGAGAACCTTATACCTTAGCTTCTGACATCTACAGTTTTGGTGTAATTATGGCTGAATTATCAACTGGAAACCCTCCCTTTTATGA